TATATATATATAAAAATAGCTCCACTCTTGCAATTAAAGTCAAAACCAGGCAAAGAAATGATCCTTGTATATCTTCCAGTCTCAGCCTTCTCCTTTGCTCTAGCCAACATTTCTTCCTCCATGGGGTCATGGTTCCTCCCTCCATGTTGGGAAATGCTTGATCCCCTCTCCAGGTGGACTTTGACAGAGAGTTCAGATTCTTGTTGGGCTGGAGAACAAGCGAGAGTCACAAGTGACTGCTTCTCAGTGTGCCATTAACCAGAGTCATACAAAGAGTGGAGGAGAATTCTTCATTTCCTCATGGGCACAGCACAGTTGGTCTTGCTAGAGAGTTTACATGCACGTTTTTTCCACACAGAGCTGAAAAACATGAGGGCAGCTGGTAAAATGGGAGTCATGGCCCCCAAGAAAGTCATAATCTGCTACAGATGCATGGCACTGCATTCCTCACTGCATTGCTTTGTTAGGTTTGTGGGCCACACTGCAAAGGCAGGTTGAGGCTGAAATGCGTATCTCAATAAATTGTTTATATGCCTAAATGCTCTTCTTGAACAGATCTTGGACAGGATCTAAGGTTTCCCTTAAATCCTGTAACCTTATATCTGCATGTGACCATGCAGTCATTTATCCCCTAGGCATTAGTTAGTTCAAATTAAGTTGTTCAGATGTGCTCCTTGATTCCCACAACTTAAATATTAAGGTATGCATATATTCCCATGAATAGGTGAGCCAAGGCAAGACTGTTGCCAAGTTTCTGTGGTAGTATAAAAACTATCTTTTTTGGTACTTATTGCACTTTAGACGTTCACACGCCTGTGAAATGTCTCTCCAGTCCTGTAGGTATAAACTCTTGGGGATGCTTCAATGGCTTCCATTTATTTTAATAGCCCACCGTATTTAAAGGATGTTTTTCTACGGCTTGTCATTAGAAATGAGCTCAAACTAAAATCCACAGCTTAAGCACCACACTGCACTTGGCAGGAGTTCAAAGATAATCTGTTAGAATCGTAGAATGTGTGCTGTTCCTGTTCTACACCATTCAATTTGGGATCAAATTTGCATCCAATGCCACAAGGCTGTTTGTGTTTCCTTTCTATGCTCTGAGCGCTGCGGGCAGCAGAGGGAGTTCTCTGGGTTTCAGCACTTCATGCCCAGCCATACAACCCCTGGCAGATGTGACTGATTGGTGTTGCTGTCTGCTTTCATCCATTAAGTGGCAATAAAGGGAAATGCAAGTGTAAGATGCATTTCAGTATCTGAAATAGTCACTGCAAGCTGCAGGGGGTTGAGGCATGATATACTGGCAGGACAGACCCAGGCTGGGATCTGGAGCACTGGGAAGGATACACAAAGAAATCAAGCTAGCACTGTGACTGCAAAAGCAGAGACTGGCCAACAGCTAACCATGAAATAAGAAGTGTGTGCTCTTAGATATAAAGGATATTTTAGCCCAAGCTGTAGTCCAAGTCTTTCTTTTGGCTGCCTGAACTCTCACAGAATGTTTCAGTGCACATGGACACCAAAGTCTTTGTAGTGGTCCCTTTTTGCTGACTTGCTAATGCCTAGCAGTTTTTGACTCTGAAACCTCTAGATCAGCAATGACTCCCATCTCCGTATCTTTCACAAACTATCTGTCTACCTTGCCCCCTTTCTGGAAGCATCCAAAGAGGATATAGCTAGATTTGTGGGCAGAAACATTTAATTTTGGCCTTATTTTCCCCAGACATTGTTATCTGCAGGGTCAGCCTCCGAACTGCTTCAGTGCTAGCAAGACTTGAGGCTGTAACATTCCCATCCTGAAGCAGATGTCTAAAATGGATAGCATAGGATAGAATAGCATATTTCAGTTGGAAGGGACAGATCTGACGAATCACCCCTTTTTACTTGGATGAAAGTGTGCGATGCCTAGCTCTGGTGAAGGCTAGCAGGGAAACTTTGCCCTGGCAACATCAGCTCAGCGTGGAAGTGTGGCAAGCACCTGTGAGCAGGGAAGGGAACGTTAACATTTTTCACAGTTGCGGTACTTTATCTCCCCCGCTTCTCCAAGCATGTATGTTAGGATGTGTGATGATTGTAAGACCGTCTGGCTCACCCTCTTAGGCTGAGATATCTGAAGCACTACGGTCGATGTCTTTCCTAGCAGCCATGGCCCCCAGCAGCTCCTCTAACCCTTCAGGCTACACTCACAGGTCACAGGGTGACAGTTCATGTGACACAGACATGTCACGGGAAGGTGTCCACTGTGGCCAGGAAGGGTGGGTGAAGGGATTGAACCAAGGGGTCTAGAGCTCCAGCTGGCTTGGGGAGTCAGGGTTGACTGGCAGCGGAAGGGAGATGTGCTTAGCCTCCTATTTCCCTCTGCCCTGTCCCAGTTCTCATCAGTGCTTCTCCTCCTACCCAGGCAGCTCTTGGAACATACATCCGGTCAGATCAGACTGGGGGCTGTGGGGTAAGCACTGGGGTAGGAGTGGGGATGTCAGGTAGACGTCCTCTGTAAAGACACTGCCAGTCTTGATCAGAGGAGGATGGTGCATGCCATTGCCCCAAGGTATCGGAAGCCATCTCTGCTCCATTTACAGGACTCAAGCGCCTGAGTTCCCCGGGGTGGCTGTCCTCTTACCATCAGTGCTCCAGTTTTGGACTCAGTTTAAAACCAGATGTTAGGCCGAATTTCTGTTGTAAAGGTAAAAACCACTGGTACCGAAGCGCCTTGGGCCGCGACCTCGCTGCGGGCTTTGTGCAGGCAGAATGAGCGCCTTGCTCACAGCAGTGGGGGCAGAGTTCAGGGTCACCAGTCCAAGCTGCCCCCAAAGAGGGTGTCCCTGCTTAGTCCTCCGCAAGCTGCTTACACCCCCTCACTGCCCACCTCCACACCTGCCTTGTCTACTCGCTATGCCAGCCTGGCTTGCCCCGGTCTGTCTCCAGCTTAGGTTGTGAGCTCTTCCAGCAGCACTAGGGCCTCTAGGGACAAGAAGACAGGGAGAGTGGCCACAGTGTATGCCAGGAGACAGCCTCCCCATCACAAATTAGAAGTGCCTCCTTCCCTGGAAAGAGCCCGCTGACCAAGGACAGAGCTTATCCAAAACGGACATGTTCTTGACTGCTCAGCTGCTTTGGGGATTGATAATCTGGCTGTGGTTATTGCAAACCTTTCTGGCATTTTTTAGGCTGTCCTCTCCTTCTACAGACTGACAGGCTGCAAACTGCCAGGGAGCCTGGAAAAATTAAGTCTTAAAAGGGCCACACTGACTGCCCAAGAAAAACACCATCTACCCTGTACTGAGGCTGCAGGAGGGGCCACACCTCTCCCATGTCTCCCAGCCATGACAGGAGGAGGAGAAAGAGGACAGCACCTCACAGATGGGTTACACCCAACCTTCATACCATTTTGAACCATGGGTGACCCCTGGGGACGTAGTCACCTGCATCTGGGAGGGACTGAACCCACCATGTTTGTGGTTGCTCTAGTTGCAGGCATTAGCCTCTGAGTTGAAGGCTGGTTTCACAGAAGCAATGCAGGAGCTGTCACGAATCCAGCATGGTGAGTACGCCCTGGAGGAGAAGGTCAAGAGCTGCCGCTGTGCCATGGAAGAGAAAGTGGCGGAGATGAAGAATTCCCTCAACACGTTCAAGGTAGGTGTGTGACCTGTAGGGAGACTGCATAGCTGCCACATTAGCTTGGGTGCCATCAGACAGCACTCCCCTGCCTCCATCAATCCTTCCTGCTTGCAAAGGTGTACTTCCTTTGACTTTGTGTCTCCCCTGACTATTCCAACCCAAATGTAACCCACGCCCTGGCCTTTTTAGACTTCTTGATGGGCCACGAGGCAGTCCTGTGAGCTACCCTGGGCAAAAGCAAGCCTTGCTCTAGGCTGCACATGCAACGGGGATATGGCCTGTTCACAGGCTGCTGCTGGACCACTGTGCCATACCTCTCCCTGGGTCAGGCCTCCTGCATTTCCTACAGGAATGAAAGCTGCTGGGGAGCAGGGAATTAACACAAAACCCTAAAGCCTTTTTAAGTCGCATTCCCACAAGGCCGAGAGGAAATGTTGCCTGGTTTGATCCGGTCCAAGACAAAGGACTGGAGAGAGAGCCTAGCAAGAAGGACTGATGTACACTTTAAACCAGCCAGTGTCTTCATGCAGAAATTGGACGACAGCCTGTGAGGAGGCAGGCAGAGGAACTCTTGTATTGTGTTTATAGTAAATTTTCCCCATGGGGTTTTGCTGAGTCAATAATACCTTGTTAAGTTAGAGAGGGCTGCTTACTGGAAAAGCTGACCTTGTGACAGGGAGAGATGGATGGCACTGGACAGAAGGAGCCCTGATGAGCTCCAGAGGGGTCCCAGATGAGCAAGGGAGACAAGAAATTTAGGGGCACATGACAGAGGTCTCAAAGCAACCAGAGTCACGGTTATCCAGAAAAAGGGGTTTTAAAATCCAGATAGAAGAAATTATGCAAGCACCAGCAGGGGTAAAGGCATGTCTCCCTTCGCCTTGTGTCCACGTTGACTGTTCAATCCTTCTCCTTCAATTTACAAGGAACTCTTGAGTCTCCCTCCTCCATCCTGCTGCTCACACTGATGAAACCTGCAGGAACTTCATGCACCAGAGAGCTCTGCATCTGAGTAAGGCTTGGTTGAAACTGCCTGAGGGAGGATGTGCAGTCAGGGAGATTATGAAGGGCCTCATAGTCTTAGTAAACCAGGCTAAAAAGACAACTCTGAGGCCTGACTGGCGAAAGCTTACACATGTGAGTGATCACTCTAGGATCTGAACTGAGTGCAACATGCACTCAATGCTGGAGAACTGCAGAGGAAATCATGCTTCCTCAGGCCCATCTCCAAATGCAATACCATTTGGAGCCCTCCCAGTGCTTTCAGCTGGTGGTTGATGAAGCCCTGTTTCTCCATCTCCCAACACTGCCTTAACCATGTGACATCACATGGTTAAGGCACTGGTAGCTGAATTAGGGATTGCCATGCTGTGCACATACTACACACAGTGGACTTGCAAAGGAAGTGTCTAACCACAGAGCCGCTCTCCACAGCACCCTTGAAGCTTCTCTAGTGCACAATAGCCAGCCTTACAAAGCTGTGCTATGTAAGGCTGATGGGCACCCTGGAAATGCTGTACTTTTGCCTATTTCTCAGGAGGAGCTCAGCGATGCAAAGTCAATGATTGAAGAAATCAGTGCCAAGCAGGAGGAAATGCAACAGAAAATTGAGCAGCTGCAGCAAGAGAAGCGACGGGAATCACGGAAAATGAAAGCTAAGTAAGGGCCCAAACTCCAGGGCTCCAGAAGTGCTAATTAGCAGTGCTGTCCATTTTGTTCATTTCCTTATAGCTTAATTTCTTAACCTCTTCCTGGCTGGATGTGTGTATCAACCCTGATTATTCCTAGAAGCTCTAGCCTTCAGCTCTAGCCCCAGACTTTCAGACTCATGCAAACACAGCAGAAAAACACCAACTGGGATTCCAACAACAAAATGACCCCAGCAGCTCTCAGGGAAACTAGGGCTTCCTGAAGCACACAAACCTGCTAGAGACACATTTGGGCAGGAATATTGTTGAAAGTCAGGAGCCTTCACCATTACAAGCTATTGCTAAGCCACCCCCATCCAGACAATAGCACTGTATTCCCCCTTTCAAGCATGCAGGACTCAGTAGGCTTCTGATGGTGCAGTTACGCTCTTCTTTCCTGTCACCAGCCTTTTCTTCTCTGAACAGAGTTGTGCAGGAGCATGCTTGCCCACTGCTGGGCCACACTGTTGCTATGAGGAAGCAGACGGCTCACCTACCTCAGCCCTGATTAGCCTCCTTCTGAAAACAGTTTTGATGATGAATGTACAGCTGCCTTGATGCAAACACTCTGCAGATCTAGGATAGTCCCTTAGCTAATTAAACCATTTAATTAGATGAAATATGCTCTGCAGAAGAAGAGATCTGAAATAACCTTTTCCTAAAGCCAGCAGAAGTTACTTCCAGAACGTTGCTCATGAACTGCATCAAAGCCAACTTCTTTCCTGGTCTCTGCTGATGTTGTCCTACTTCTGACTCTGTGCTTGTACTTACGCTGGTATCTGCCACAATTGCAGTGTAAGAGCTTAACCTCAATGGCCTCAAGTTGCGCCAGGGGAGGTTTAGATTAGATATTAGGAAGAAATTCTTCACTGAGAGGGTAGTTAGGCACTGGAACAGGCTGCCCAGGGAGGTGGTGGAGTCGCCATCCCTGGAGGTGTTTAAAGAACGAATAGATGTGGCGCTTGAGGATATGGTGTAATGGTTAGAGAAATGCTGGGAAAAAGGTTGGACTTGATGACCCTGGAGGTCCTTTCCAACCATAATGATTCTGTGATTCTGTGATTCTGTGATTCAAACTTTCAAACTGTCTCATTCTTTGTATTTATACAGAAGAGCACAGAAGGATGATCATGGGTCACAGACAGTGCCTACACCTCTCCAGGGCAGCCCATTTCGATCCATTAACCTCCCAGAACCTGTGCTGATCAATGAAGATTTTACAAGTCTTTTACACAATGTGACTTATGAAAAAGGTAGGAAATAGAGTAGGCAAATGCCATGCCTTCCTCAAGGAAAAAAAAACAAAACAAAAACCAGAAAAAGGTCATGAGTCTAAGAAGACACCAATTTTTCCTCAGGTGCCAGCAGCACAAAAAGAACAGGGGCGCTCCCCTCGGCAGCACTGCTCCTGGCTCTGTGCATGCACCTCAGCACGGTGTCTCGAGATAGCAGCCTCGGTGCTGGCCTGGCTTCAGGAGATGCTGTTCTGTGAACGCTGTTCAAAAGCCATTACTTGCATCCTCCAAGGAAACGTAAGCAGGCTGGACCTTTTTCTCTGTGCCTGCTAGGGGCACAGACAGAGCCAAGCAGGACACCCTGATAAAAGTACCACGAGCTGTGGATTTGTTTCCATGTAAGGGAGCAGGGCATAGAACGTAAGATCACACGGATTGGGCTGACAAAGAACACCTGGTGTCATTAAGGGGCTATACTGGTGATTTGATAAGTGGACATGGGAGGTTGTACATAAACACACTAGGCTACTAGTGTTACTGCTCCTTGCATATACACAGTGCTAGAAGAATCACTGCCCCTAATTAGCGGCAGAAACTGCTAAACCCATGGTGTTAGGGTTACACCTTGACCAGGAAAACACTGTCAACTGCCAAACATGTGTAAGGTTCGAATCAAAGCAAAGATCATAGACCACAGCCTTTTTTCCTTTAATTAACTTTAGGGATCTAAACTGTTCTATTACTCTCTTGCTGTTCAGATAGGAAGATGCTAAAAACATATATATTTAAAATGTCAACAAAGGCAGAGACTGGATGAAAACCATGTGCTGTTTTCTACTCTATTCTGCTCAGAATCTGGCTAGTCATGGCTCTCGCTGCCCTACTCTGAGGTGGTATGTTAGCCCTCTCTCTCACATTCCTCTTGAACATCCACTTCTCTCATCCACTTTCCCTCTGCCCCTTTCTTTCCAGTCATCTCACCCCTCTACTCTTCAATAAGCTCCTTTCCACCCATATATACGCTGATACAGCACCAAGCGTAACAGGGACCCCCATGTTAGCCTGCCTGTAGCTGCTACTGAAACAAAGACCACATCAAGAGCCACAACATCAAAGATCCTCCTTAGTGAAGTATCTAAAAGAGGTGTTTCCATAGCAAAAATTTGAGAAACTGGAGGTTCTAAACATGGAAGCCTGGAAGAAGCAGGAGGAAGCCTGCTCTACAGCTGTCTTCTCTTGTAAAGTTTGCCTTTGTTCTTCAACAGTGTCCGACACCAGGATCATGCCAATGGGAGAAGGAAGTGTGAAAGTCGTAGCAGGGCCAGGTAGGAAAATATTAAACTGTCAAAAAACAGCAGGACAATGACTCAGTTAGAGTGCTTGCTTTACTACATTAAAGAAATGCTTTCAGGGGATGCATTTCACAGGAATGTCTTTCACTTTGCCACGTACCTCTGTTTTCATACTTGCAGTGGAGATATGAGGGCAAACCTGCATCCCTGAAGTGTCTAATACCTGACAAACAATGCAAAGGATTGCTATTTGACATGGAAGGCCTTTCTGCTGCTGCTTTCGCAGGTTCCAAGTGCTTTTGAAGTAAGGAAGAAGTGAGGCTTACAGATGTGGCAAAGAATAATGAGAGCGACATTTTGCCACTTGGGAAGAGATGGTCTTTGCAGTGACTACACACCAGTAGAACTGGTGAGCTGTTTATTTGCCCACCAGCTTTCAGATTCATTTTAGACATGTCTGAATAGTAAATGAGAAGGATTTTTGGCAAAAATAAAAATTGGTCAGAAAAGAAGGGTAGAGTCAGGGCACACTGTCCCTGCTCACTGCAGGGGGGGTTGAACTAGATGACCTTTAAAGGTCCCTTCCAGCCCAGCACCTTCTGTGATTCTATGACACTAAAGAACTTGGCCAGGAAAAGGACACATGAGAACAACCTTTAGGTGTCTGCACTGTTCACTAGAAGCACTCATTGTTCTGGATACCTTTTTTGCTTGAATCCACTTGGGGGGAAAAAAAAAAAAGAGAGAATAAAAGCTACTGAAAAATGGTTCCTTGCAACCCAAATTCTAAGATAATAATGCATTAAAGCAATTAAAGCCCAATGGCTCTGTCACACCTGCACTCTCCCCTACCTTCTCTGTGATTTCATAGCCTCAGACTATCAGTCCCCTGCTGCTGTATAATCACATCACACTGACAAAAATTTTAAGAGCCATGACAGCTTACATCCATTGAAAATGGCATGTAAATCAAATTATAATAATACTTTGTTTCTGTAATACCTGTCAATAAGTGTCATATCACCAAGTCCTGAAATGTCCCAAAACCTTGAAGTGCAACCATACTTAGCCTTGTTTTTTTCCTTTCTAACGTGTGTCTAATTTTGGACCTTATTTGACCTGAAAATGAATGCTGGAGGAGTGCAAACCTTGTTCTGCCAAAGTGCTTGCCAACTGCACTTCTGTTTGTGAATTAACTCTGCAAGGCTACTCTGTGAAGCACAGAGGATGCTTCGAATTCTCCTTCCAGTACTTTGAATGCATGATAATACAGATTAGCTGCTTGCTGCAGCATAACCTGTCAACCTAAAGGCAGGTTCCATAGAGCTGTTTGTCATTGCAGGAGCAGCCATAGAGACAGATGATAGCCTCAAGCCTTCCTTGTCAACAGAGGGGCAGTCAAAAGTGCATCTGCCATCAACAGTGTGGAAGCAGCCCAAGGACACCAAGGACTGGGGAGATGAATACATTTCCAAAGAGCCACCGGAGAGAGGGAAAGACATGGGCCAAAGCAGATACAGCTCAGCAGACAACATTATATGTGAACCCTCTTTGGCTGGTAAGGACAGAGTGGAAAACTGGGTAGAGAGGCTCAAAGCTGCATTCACATCTAGCATGAGCTTGCTGGTAATCAGCTTCTACACACAAGCCAGTTTTTCCTGCTAGGGGAAATGTCTTGGGGCCTCAGTCTCCAAGACTTCTGACCTTTGTATTTGCTGGTCTGTGCCATTGACAGAATCACTCTGCACCCAGAACACCCATTCTCCTTTCCAAGACCTGGCAGGTTCAGAGTACTGATGGGATTATGATGGTGTAATTGCTTAAGTGGGTGAAAAATACAACTTCTCATTCTGCACGAAACATGAATCCCTGCCATGTGTTGCTTTGCCTTCAACGCTTGTTTTATTATTAATAGAAAATAACGGTATTCATAGGGAAAAACACATTTGCTTTGGAGTTTTCTTGGCAAACTGTGGCTCCAGTCATGTCTGGGACATACTGTAGCATCAGGCTACAATTTTTTATTTTGAGGAAAGTAGACACAAAAATAACTTTTCAAAAAAAAAGTCACTTTTCAGAAGTTTCTCCTTTTGTGAGGCTGCCCTTGTGGTCTGCACTTTCTTGTTTTTAAACTTAACCATTACCTTCTGGAAGCCAAGAGGCAGAACATAGCTTTGGAGCTGCTGGAGTCAGAAAGGAAATACGTCATCAACCTTTCCCTGATCCTGAAGATCAAGGCCACGTTGCAAGGGCCAGATGTGAAAAGGAGCACCAAAGAGAGAAGGTATTTGATTCAGTGTGGTTTTTGGGGGCATTTTCTTCAGTCAATATTCTTTCTGCATCATCTTCTCTTCCACTTTTCTTTCATCCACACAGAGATATTTGAACACTTAGAGCTTATTTCTAGTTGAAAACTAGAGGCACTAGAAGGTTTTGCAGTGATTAAAGACTTCCCTGTCTGTCCTTACACCTTGTCCACCTTGCATCCCGAACCATTTCAAAACTACTTCATGTCAGTCTCAGAACTTCTGACTCCCACCAGTCTCCTGTTCTTTTTGCATGCCTCCTGTCTGGCTGGGAACAAAGATTTGTGCATTCACTGCCTGCTTCTCCTAGTCCATAGCTCCAGCTCTAGAAGCTGCTGTGGGCAGAAGTCCCCCGCTAGTGGTTATCATTCATCGGGTATTGATATATACAGACATACACATATACTTACACACAGATACACAGATACAAGACCAGTGGGACTGACTCAACTCAGCAGTTAAACCCAGCCCTTTGCAAAGGTCATACCCTATGGCAGTTGTCATAGATCGCAGAGCAGGATAGCTCCTGCAGCTCTCCCTATTCACTCAGCTTTGGCCTCACAGTTCTGAGCCCCTAAGCACATCTGGGGAGCTCAGTCCCTTCTAGCTCTTTCTTTTTTTGGCTCTTTCCACTATCCTTAGGAGTCCCACGTCCAAGAAGCTATTTGACAGAAGTCCACTGTGGGACATATGGGTTGATGTGGACTCATTTAAGCAGTTACATGACACATACAGTTCTAATTAAAGCAAGATTCTACAAAGTGAGTTTTAATTTTTACTCTTTTTCCCTGTGACATTGTGATTCTGGATGAAATCAGCATGAAAAAACAGAAAGGGAGTAGCACATTTTGAACAGCCCTGTATCCCAGGGTTGGCTTGTTAAAGGGCCCAACAAATGAGACAACATACAAAGCTGGGTAGCTCTCCTCCAAGCACTCTATGGGATGGCTCAGGACCATGGTTCTGCTTAATTAGCCACAGCAGCATTGCCTTGGGGCTTCTTAGTTCTGCAGATTCTGGTCAGCTACACAACACACTGGAGAGTCAGCCTAAGAAACCTTCAAAACACTGTACTAATAGCCTACTGGAGAGCCTACCTGCATGTACACAGCAGCCAAAGCAAGGCTCTCTGATGCAGCCAGGACTCCAATAAAAGCATTTAATAATACCTACGCTTAAAGTAAGCCTGTGCTGACCACCCATGAATGCACACTTCAGCAGTACACAATTAGGGCTGAGCTCTTCCTCTGTGTAACCACTCTGATATTATTTCCCCTCAGTTTCTTCCCCAATTCTTTGCGCTACCTGGTCCAGCAACATGTTGACTTACTTCACGCCCTACAAGAGCGAGTCCTGAGCTGGCCTCGACAAGGGATCCTAGGAGACATCTTCCTGAAGTTAACAAATGATGAGGTATGTTACAGACCTCTCTGGACTCTTCTGCTATGACTCATGTTGTGCTGATGGCCTGCAAGTGGGCTAACACCCCTTTCAGCAGAGGGGCTGTGCTGTGAAGCTGTGGCTCAGGTCTCCTTTGAGCAGAGTCCCCGTGCATGATAGCACCTTTGTTGTAGTACTTGGTTGGGAGGGGAGCCCACATACCAGAGCCACCTGGGGGCATGCAGCTACATAGCACAGCTCTGTAATAAATGCACGAGACCTAGACTTGGTTGTAAAAGTCACACCTAAGCCTTGACATCTTGCATGTCTGTATTCACAGTGAGGGTGTGAAAAGAGCATGTTTCTTACGCTGCTCTTCCCCAGTACAATTTGCTCTGAGTTATCACAAGTGGCCGGGCAGGCCCCTTATCCTATATGGTTTGTAGCCCCAAGTACAACAGCACCTCCTTCTCGCAGTGAAGGTCTGCCCAACCCTTGGCAAGCAGTGCGACCTCTCTGGAAGGACGTGTAAAAGCTCACCTGATGCTTTAGGAAAACTTCTTCCTCCCTAAGATCACTACCCCTCCCATCTGCGCTAAAGCTTTATGTGATGTGCTCAACAGCTGAATGCATTTTATTAAACAGGCTTTCTTGAGAAGTCCCAAGCCCTGAAAACTTCACACAGTTAGGAGCAATACTGCACTGATGAGCTCCCAGGAGAGATGGTGGGCAATCAAGAGTTTCTTGTTCTGGCTGTCTCTATGATGTTTCTTTGTTCTTTTCTTTTTTTCTTTTCTTAAGAATAATTTTCTGGACTACTATGTTGCTTACCTGAGGGACCTACCAGAATGCATCTCTCTGATCCATGTGGTGATCCTGAAGGAGGTAAACTTCTGCCAGCTTCACAGACATATAATGGCAACATGCAAACCTGGATCTCCTCCTGTTATGCCTGCCCATGATAGGACTTTTCTGCCCATCCACTTGTTCTGTTAACAAATGCCACTTTGCCAAACGTTGCCATAGCTGATATGCACCTATGAAAGGCAGCTTTAATGTGTCCATCACTGTGGGTAACCAAATCTATACTTCTCCTGTGACATGAAATAATGTCTCGGATCAAACCTCCCTGAAAGCTTGCCTATGCACATGCTATCCAGACCTGTGTCTCCTGGAATGAAGAACTCATATAAACAGGGAGACAAAGAGTGAGGCTGTAAGTGCTTTAGAGACAAAACAGCCTCTGCTGTTCAGTTTCAGGTATTTGGTCTCACACCCTTGATTATTGGTTTAAACTAGGAAAGTTAAATATAAAAGTAGTTTTAAAGTGGAATAACCAAACCACATTAGCTTACTTCCAAGAGATCTTAATTTAGAAATCAAACACACTTTGTTTGATTCATTTAGATCTAAACTAAGAACAACAATACATACAGAAAGCAAGTGCTATGAAAACAAGAGATTGATTTATTTACCCAGTGCTAAACTCAAACAGTGCATCACCCACACATTTCATGATTACATTTACAGTGGTTACTTCTGTATTTGCACTAGAGTAGTAGGAGGTACGCACCATCTGAACAACAGCATAGAATTATAGAATGGTGAAGGTTGGAAGGGACCTTAAAGATCATCTAGTTCCAGTCCCCTGCTGTGGGCAGGGACACCTCTCTCCCACTAGACCAGGTTGCTCAAAGCCCCACCCAGCCTGGTCTTGCATCTACTCACTGTTTCAGTGAAACTTAACTAGTGCACTTTAAACATACAGCCTTACTTCATTGGGCTGAGCATCCTTCATAGATAATCCCCAATCTAAGGAACTACATCCTTAGGACTCATATTGCTGGTGGAAGGAGTTGTAAACAACTCTTCCAGAAGCAAGATAAAGACGAGTGTATTGTTACACACAACTGCCACTTGACTGGCATGCTCCTGTCAACTGTTGTAACTACTTACAGCATAAGTACTCATTAAATTGCACAACCATTTGAAAGCAGACATATTTAATGGGTAGGAGAGACTCTGAAGTTGCTTTCTGTATTTCAGGTAGAAGAAGAAATCAAGTCTGATCTCTACATTCTATTCTTCCATATAGTCCAGCGAATTCCTGAATACCTTATTCATCTACAGGTAGGGTTCCAGGATGGAAACTGTCTTATCACAACATGTGACTTTTAACTCAGAGCTGGTATTCAGGTCTGTACTGGTACAGGGCTTCTGGCTAACCCAGTGAGCTCTCTGACAAAATGCTTTGAAAAGGAAAGCCACCTGAGACTGGCTTAATTTTAATCACATTCACCTGAAGCTTGTTTCCATGTGCCAATTCCTCCATTTAGCCTGAGAACCTCCTGGGAAGTCAAAACCCCTGCTGCCCTGGGGAAACAGGATGCCAGAGATAGGGCATATCTACTGCGAGCCCTGACCTAACTCCTTTAAGAGAGCTGGTCTCTTTGCTGAGTGGTACACATGCCTGTTAGCTGAGAGCCTGAGAGGGCTGGAGGCACCCAGGGCCCAACCTTTTGTACACAGAGCTTGCTGGTAAAGAGGGTTCTGTTTCACATAAGGGTTATCTGAATTGCACTAAAACATTTTGGACACAGAAAGCAAGCCCTATGAAAACAAGAGATTGATTTATTTACCCAGCGTTAAACTCAATCGGTGCATCATGCACACGTTCCGTGATTACACTTACAGTGGTTGTGTATTTGCACTGGAGTAGTAGGAGGCATGCACCATCCAAGTCCTTCAGAAACTGGTGCTGCCTAGAAGACCTCCCACTGGGCTCCCACAGGGCAGTGCCATGGGCACTAATCCATGATCCCAGTAGAACCTTTTCCCCAGAAAGGCTTAGGACACCCTCCAAACAGTCTGCTCTCCTCTGTGCCCCAGAATGTCCTGAAGTTCACGGAGCAAGAGCATCCTGACTATTACCTGCTGCTAGTGTGTGTGCAGCGCCTCCGGGTTTTCATCTCGCACTATAGCCTCCTCTTCCAATGCAATGAAGACCTGCTTATACAGAAGAGGAAAAAGCTGAAGAAGTAAGCACAACATCAGCTAATTCTCTCTATCACCAGGGACAGAGAGGAGTGTGAGGAGTCTGGAAACAAGGGGTGTAGGTCTGGGCAAGATCAATGGACACATTGGTCTGTTGAAATAAAACAAAGCTGTTTGTGTTAGAATGCTGGAGAAGGCCCACTATTGGTGTTTGTCCTCCAAACTGAAGTCAGATTTGGGGTGGGCCCTTCTGTCTAGCTCAGAGTGAAAGAAAGATAAGTTCAGTCCTTCTAAACACAGCAGCCACTTGTTTCATGGGAACTTTTGTTTCCTTACAGTGATGACAAAGTCACTCCCCAGTGGGAGAATACATGAGACCTTAGCTGCTTTGGCATCTTGGGGCCCCAAGGAATGCCAAGACTATTCCCTGAAGCCCTCATAGGCTAAGACTGAGAAAGAATTGTGCTATTTTACTGAGAGAGTGGGATGGGAGAAACAAAAGTGATAGAAATGACCCTGAATGTAGATTCCAAGTTGTGGTTTAGAAGAGTTCCCTGAAATCAACACTTTTTACTAAACCAGATATCTGGTTGCCTTTGCTCCTTGTGATGATTCACTGGGGGAGCAGGACAAAATCAAGCTTCAAGGGAAGCTTCCAAACGTGGAGGGTGGTAAAGGGCTAGAGCAGACTGCTGGGGAGAGACTGCTATCAGGTGAGGCATTAAGAACAAGACAGAAAGCAGGATGCTCTGCTGACTGGGATAGACTAGGTGGAACAGGTCCTTCCCTGGGGAGGGAAAAGGTGAATGCGAATATTAGGGTCCCTCCCAGTCCTGTTTTCTGTGATTCTACATGCTCGTGCTCATTCCCTGCCTTATTTCTTAGCACGACGATGGATTTCTCCTCCCTCAGGTCATCCCTGGTGAAGCTGTACAAAGGTCTCACCTCCCAGTGTACAAGCCAGGAGGTTTCTCCAACACCCAGTGCGACATCTATCCGGGACAGCGGGATCCACTCTGAAGAGACAATACAGTCATTCCCACCAGCACCTTCCTCTGGCACGACAACCCCGTAAGCCTATTGTCCTAGTAGAAGGCTTTCAAAGTAGGCTGAAAACTCTCTCCTCACCCATGCTATGCCAGTGACACTAGGCAGTTACAGCTTGCCATTTCTAAGACTGTGCCTCCTTCTCGCCAGGCTACCCATGCCAGTCTCCCTCCCCTTACAGACATGATGCTCTAGGCCCCCATCTTGGTAGTCTCAGCTAGCACCTCCCCAGTTTCCCCACATTCATCTTGAACTGAGAACCCAAGATGGGTCCAGGTAGGGCCTCATCAGCATTGAAGAGAAGGGGAAAAATAACTCCCCAGGCTTGGCTGACCATTCAGTTCCTAATACAGCCCGGGTCAGGGTTTGCCTTGTCTGCCAGGAGAGCACGCTGTCAGCTCATCTTTACCCTAGCACTGGCTATAATCCCAAATTCATACCAGGGCTGCTGCTCAATCAAAATCTCCCAGCCTGGTCTGATGCATGGGGTTATCTTGCCCCAGATGCAGAGCTCTACACATGTCAAACATCACAAGGTTTCCATTTCTCCATTTCATTTATTATATCCCCAGAAGATGGCAATGTGACTTTCCTATCTAGTGTTCTAGGTAAGGGCCACAGTGGTGCACACTCTGCAACTAAATACCTCATCCACTGCAGTACTCTCTGCTAATTTACCTGGAGCACATGGAAGGTAGGAGTGCTCCAAATACTCCTGACACACTTCTGGGGATACAGCCACCCTATCCAAGCGAGGAACCTTGGTGCACCTGAAAAGACAATCAGACCACATGAAAGTAAGACATACACCCTACATCAGAAAGAGAAGTAAAAATCCAAAACTCAGATGAACAGGAGGGAGATGGAGCAGTTAGTTCCACATCTCAGTTTCTATTCACTTCATGGTGCAGAATACAAAAATCAGCTAAGCTACTGGATAAGCAGTTCTACGCCTGCTAATCCAGCCAGC